TTCTGCATACCTGACTTAACGTATAGAGCATCGGTTCATATGACCACTCATTTCCGTGGAAATTAATATGTCTGATATCAAATACACACATAAAATTTCAAGGCAGGTGACGTCTCAAAACACAAAATTTATGGTACCAAAATAAACTAAAGTAATATACTTATGGACTCCCACCCACAAAAAAATTACATTAAATCTAAATCCATCAAGTAGTTTCAGGTTTGAAATATATGGACACATGGATGAATGACTTCCACCAAAGGCGTTCTAACCACACCTGGTAACAGCAAATAGGGGAAATATTATACCACTCCTTCTATAGTCTTTATTCACAATAACATGGATTAAACTCACGTCTGACACATCTTTATTTTCCTGTTCATGTTTCCTTTTCTTCTCCTTTTTTCCCTTTCGTTCTGCTTCGTCGTCCGAGCGAAACCTTTTCGTTTTAGACTGTGGTAAGTCATCTGGATGTTCCTTCTCCCATTTAACACCATGCTTCTTACTGCCTAAAAAAAACATTAATCTGCAATGTAAATTCCTTCCTTCTCCCTGTTTCTTTCCATCCTCACTGTCTGGTAGATGCCGGGACATCAAAAATATTTTAATGCATTTATCACCATTCGGCAATACAAAGCGAAAAGCATAAACCACGTTTAAGAGTATTTGATATTTACAGTAACAGCCTTTTGTGCGAATGTTTTCAATTCGAAGACTGTACCTAATTCTTCTTCTGTCAACAAGAACACAGAACGTAATGTGTTGTACGCAACAGAGTCCATGGAGAAATTAAGTCGACATAGCCGCTCAGAAACATTTCCCATCTTTTGCAGCATCGGGGCAGAAAAAATCTGAAGTGAATGGCAGCAAATTTCATCTGATCTTAAATAAATTATGAATCCGAGATCTTATTAACTATCTAAATATAATTCTGTCCCATATTCTGATGACTCGACACGAATACGCTTAAGTTTTCTCTGCATACCCTAGAGAAATCTTAACAAGACTTCAATATACTTGCTTTTTCCAGATTCAGATGGAACATCCACTTCTTCATAACCAGATTCTTCCGAACTGCTACAAGAGGCGTCTTCTTGACTTGCTCTCTTCTCTTTAAGTCGAATCAACTTGAAACATGAAAGATTTAAAGATATGAGACACACATAAGTTGCATAAAACAGTCAGTGCATGGACTGAAAAAGAAAGTAAAATCTGGACTGATACATAAGAAGAAGTACATTTCAACATACCTTTTCTTCCTTCTGCTGCTTAAATTTCTCCAACCTCTCCTTCCGTTTTTCCTTCTTCCTCTGCTGTTCCTTCTGTACGCTCTCTGCAGCATTTTTCAATGATTCCATCACCAACTGTCGTCCAGCGCTGAAAGACATGTTCTCCGGGGCGCTGTCTGAATCTGAAGAATCGTCTGGTCTTCTCGATTTTGCGAGCGGTTTCGCTAACTTCTTTGACTCAGATTCTGATGTACTTATGTTCTGAATAATCCTCTTCTGAGCTGACTCCATGATGGCCTTCCTGGATTCCGCGTCTGAATCCCGTTCGGAGCTATCGCTTCTCATCTCTTTCCTCATTTGAGTTTTACATACAGGTGAACTTTTAACTTCATAATTATCTTCCAAGCATTTGGTCTGAGAACCAGGAGAATCCTTTTCTGAATTATTACTGACACAAAGATTCTCGGAAGACATGCCTTCACAAATTGGGGACTGCGTTCCGCTTTGTTCTTGTTCTTTTCTTGTGCTGGCAGCAGAAACACTTTCTGTGTCTGCGGACTTATGGACACCAATTTCTTCATTAGAATCAAACCTTCCAGCTTCTATATCATCCAAAATTTCATTACCTTCCCTCTCATTATAATTTTCAAACTTTTCTTCTTCATCGTGTGTCTTCTCAGCACTACTTCGTGAAACATCCTGCAGTTTATGAACATCAGTATCATTTATTTTGTTCACTTCACATGCTTTGTCTATTAAAGCAGATTCTGTTTCACTTGAATCTTTTGAATGGCCTTCCCTGCTTCCAATATCATCTGGTGATTTCAGACATTCA